CGATCCACGGCTCAGCAGGCCCCTGAAGAGCAGAAAGGCCAGGCGAGCTGGAGCGGCAGTATGGGGCAATGGGTGCGAGGTTAGGTCATCCATATTGCTGGCACTAAGGGCAGTGAGGTGGGTGTCCGTGCCAGCCAGGGTTGGCTTAGTGAATCGCAGGGATGCTTACCTGGGGGCCGCTGGTGAGCTCGTCGAACACACTCAAGGTGTCTTCCTTCCAGTCCCCCAGGCGGCTCTCTTCAAAGCAGCCATCTGACTCCCCACATCCCCGGTAGTCAAAGCTGGGGTGAGAGGAGACATTTTGAAGACCCTTCCCCCAAAGGGGCACACACCTAGGGCTGCCCCTCCCATTAGGCAGAGTTGAGGCAACAAGTGGTGGCTTTGTGGAGGACACCTGTCTGTGTGCCTGCCATCCTTTGGCCCAGGAGAGGACACTGTCCTGTCACCAGCGTGGAAGTGAAATTCAGCCGTCATCTTCAACGCATGGGAGGCCATCTTTGCCTCAGGCCACAAAACGGCCCTAAGTCCACCCCAGCAACCTCTGGAGAGTCCAAACAGCTTCTTGCTTCCCACCTGACGAATGCCCGTCCTGTCTCCCGGCAGAACTGCTCCATCCTCTGACACTTGGGGTTGGCTCTGGTGCTGCGGAAGCCCAGCAAAAAGACGACACCGGGGCTGCAGCCTGGTAGGCGGTGGTAGGCCAGGCGGGGCAGACCTTGGCGCGACAGAAACGATGGTGCCATGTTGGCAGAGCTGTAGGCAAAAACAGAGGGGGTGAGTTCCTAGATTTTTGTTAGGATCACTTTTATTGGGTTGGTATATTACAAAACAATACAAAAAAACATGAATGCAAAATCCAGCCTCCCTCCACCCTCCGCAAGAGATGATGTCTGCATCCATATCTGAAGTGTATTCAAGTTCCACATCATATATCCAGCTTGCAAAGGTCCTCAAAGGATGACGTCAGGCAAAGATGTTTACATGAAGTTCATTAAAGTCATTTTTCACTCTATGCATGTTGAAGCTGTGCCATTCTGCTGTGAATAAGTCCTTTTGCCTTAGACTTTGTGCCACTGAAGTTTATTGGTAAGTTTCTGAAGTGCCAGTTTCCAGACCATATTATACCAGTTCGCCATTGGTAAATTGGTATAATATGGCCTTCCATATTTATACAGTGGTACCTCTGGTTAAGAACTTAATTTGTTCCGGAGGTCCGTTCTTAACCTGAAACTGTTCTTAACCTGAGGTACCACTTTTGCTAATGGGGCCTCCCGCTGCCGCCACACGATTTCTGTTCTTATCCTGAGGTAAAGTTCTTAAACCAAGGTGCCACTGTATACCAATATATACCTATACTCCTTCCATATGCAGTGGTACCTCGGGTTACAGACACTTCAGGTTACAGATGCTTCAGATTACAGGCTCCACTAACCCAGAAATAGTACCTTGGGTTAAGAACTTTGCTTCAGGATGAGAACAGAAATCACACGACGGCGCAGCAGCAGCAGGAGGCCCCATTAGCTAAAGTGGTACCTCAGGTTAAGAACAGTTTCATGTTAAGAACGGATCTCCATAACGAATTAAGTTCTTAACCTGAGGTACCACTGTATTTCCAATACCTAGTTATAATAAGTCTTGCTGCAACTAATAGATACTCAACCATTGGCTTAACGTGCATATTTGCATTTTAAAAAGATTTAACAAAGCCAATTCCAGGCATTGAACCTAGATCCTATGAGATATTTATACAAGAGTGCGTCTGAGCAAGGACAGAGGGCCTTTCCCTCCAAGCAAAGTGACCACAGTCCACCTCCATCCATGTGTCCTGATTTCAGGTCCTGCTTTAGCCCCAGCTGCTCTTGGCATGAGAATTCCACACTGGGCAATTCCACCAAGGGACAATCACTGCTTGTGGCACTTCTCTCCTGCTAATCCTCCTGTGGCACCTCAGAGCCAAGTCCTGCAGGTCTCTGCAAGCTGCTCTTCTTCTGGAGGGCAGAGGCTCGGAAAGGGTCTGGCTAAACAGAAGATTGCAGCATCCTGGTTGCACCTGGGACTCAGCTACATTAGTCAGGAAAAGAACAGAGTTTTGAATGCATTATAAACATGCAACACCACATGGCGCTGTAGAGCAGAAAACTTTTCTATGCGATTTTACATAGCGTTTTCTTTTCAACAATTTAATTTCTGACATATTTATAGCGTGTTTTTCCCCATGTGTAGATCCACTCCAGCAAGGCCAGGAAGACTTTGAGGCAGGTGCTGTCAGGGATTGTTTCCCTGCCCATCTGCTCCTTCAGTAGATTTCTGCAGCACCAAGAGAGGCATCCTTCTCTTCTGCTGCTGCTACAAGCAGTGTAGTTAGTGGGTGAAGGTGTAAGTCCTGGGTTCAAATGCCACCAGGGCCAGAGAGAGACCCATTGTGTGGCATTAGGCTCTTGCTCGGTCTTCCTTTTAGTCTCAGTTGGCCTTCTGAGCAATGGGTGCACTAAAATGATACATACATTTGCCTCGGCTGTCGCTTCATTCACCCGCAGAGATACACATGGACCTTCACCCGACACTTGCAGGTAGACTTTGACTCTATTTGCTAGATCACTCTATGCCTGTAGCAGCCAGCCAGCCAGGCCCTCCCTCTTCCCAGCCCTAGGGCTCAGTGACAGCCTTCCTTCCCTTGGACTCTCTCCCATTTTTCTCTGGCCCTTCTCCCCAAAGTCGTCACAGGGTCACAGGGAGAGATCCAGTCCCTCTTCCTCCTCCACGCTGAAGGCTGCAGATTGGCTATTCCCCCTCCCCTCCAATTTCCACAGCCCCTGCTTGGGTCCTGTAGGGGCTGTGAAGTCCTGGCACCCACCTTTTCAGCTGTGATGCAGGCCCTGGGAAAGCCGCTGAGCTGTTGCCCTCTGTGCAGAGTCTGTGACAAACAAGCAGCCTCGAACAGAGGAATCAAACACTGGCTATTTGCTAACTCAGCAAGTTGGAGACTCATTACCGAAGGAGGGGAAACCCCAAGCCTGGGAGCCACTGGAGGAGCGGCAGGACAGAGACGGAAGCACCAAGGGGTTAATTTCTTATGAGAGGTATGCAGAGCTAGTGCTTTTCGAGAAATCCAGTTCTGCAATGGTGAGGGAAGCCACGCTGTGCATGCTCAGAGGCCCCTCTTTGTTTCACATGTTCCAAATCACACAGGAGTGCTTTCTACCTGGAACCTCAAACAGCCAGTAGGCAGAGATTTGTAATTTCCCACTGCGATTTGGCTTATGATGCCAGCATGGTTAAACCCAGCCTTTTACTCCTTGGTGCATTTGTTATGTACTGAAGTTCTCACCCTGGGCAAGCAGGGGGAATACTGTAGATAGTTATGCAAATAAGGGATCGAAAGTGACGTTCAGTGATTGGATAGTTTTAGAAAATTGTTACAGTTACGTTGTACTGGAGCTCTATATAAGCAGGCTGACTGAACCCTTCAGTTCAGTTCTGTTCTGGCCTGTGAATAAACAAGAGCTGTTTGAAGAATCGCTGTATCATCTGATATGTTCACCCACAACTTAACAGCATTGGCCCTTACAAACAAGCAGGGGCTCCTTTTTACGATACCATTCTGAATTAAAACAAGGTCCAAAGGCAGCTCATAAATTAGCATATTTTTATTTGTGAGAGCTGAGGGTTAAATCTGAACATAGAACTGGCCACAGCACCAGATTTTCTGCCTTGTAAAAGATCAGGACATCCATTAGATGTTGCTGTTACTCCATCAGCGGGTGGGACAGGGCGAGCCAGGGATGGAAGTATTGTTGCCTTGAAAGGAGGGTGTGTGTGACTGGCTCTTTATGGTTGTGTTTTAAATTTTATTATTACTTTCAGAATTTCTATCCTTTCCTTCCTCCCCAAGGAGTGCAGGGGAGCAAACAGATACACAGTTTGAAAGCGAAAACAAAGTATAAAACCATTAAAAGCAATTACAGTTAAAAACATATCAAAGCAATTATGCTTTAAAACATTATTCCACCCAGTGATTGTGGGCTTTCCAGAAGTCAATACAGATTTATGCTTTTCAAATTACTCCATAGGTCCTTTCTCTTCCACCTCCTGAATATGGATTTTGGACCTAATCCCATTGCATGTTTGGGGTGAAGAGGCCTAAGCCATTCAGTGAAAGATTCTGCCAGGGGTGGGGGTCGGGGGGTCGGGTAGGAATGGACATAGCGTCAGGCCCTGTTGTCTGCAAACAGAGCCAGTATGCTAGTTCTTTCTTATTCAGTATGCTGTTTCCTTTTAATACCATACTTTTGATACCATTAACCATGACATCCTTCTGGACCGTCTAGGAGCTGGGAGCCGGGGGCACTGTTATACAGTGGTTCCGCTCCTTCCTCCTGGGTCGTGTCCAGAAAGTGGTGTTGGGGGATGAGTGATCAGACCCCTGGGCTCTTACTTGTGGGGTGCCTCAGAGTTCTGTCCCCCTTGTTTTTGAATATCTATTTGAACCCGCTGGGAGAGATCATCAGAGGGTTTGGGCTGGGTGTTCATCAGTCTGTGGATGATACCTAGCTCTAAGGAGGTGAAGGTCCTGTGTGAGTGTCTGGAGGCGGTTGGAGGACGGATGGCAGCTAACAGATTGAGGTTGAATCCTGACAAGACAGAAGTACTATTTTTGGGGGACAGGGAGCAGGTGGGTGTGAAGGACTCCCTGGTCCTGAATGGGGTAACTGTGCCCCTGAAGGACCAGGTGCGCAGCCTGGGAGTCATTTTGGACTCACAGCTGTCCATGGAGGCGCAGGTCAATTCTGAGTCCAGAGCAGCTGTCTACCAACTCCACCTGGTATGCAGGCTGAGACCCTACCTGCCCACAGGCTGTCTCGCCAGGGTGGTGCATGCTCTAGTTATCTCCCACTTGGACCACTGCAATGCGCTCTATGTGGGGCTACCTTTGAAGGTGACCTGGAAACTACAACTAATCCAGAATGGGGCAGCTAGACTGGTGACTGGGAGTGGCCAGTGAGACCATATAACACTGGTCCTGAAGGACTTACATTGGCTCCCAGTACGTTTCCGAGCACAAATCAAAGTGTTGATGCTGACCTTTAAAGCCCTAAATGGCCTCGGCCCAACATCCCTGAAGGAGCGTCTCCACCCCCATCGTTCAGCCCAGACACTGAAGTCCAGCCCCAAGGGCCTCCTGGCGGTTCCCTCACTGTGATAAGTGAGGTTACAGGGAACCAGGCAAAGGGCCTTCTTGGTCCTGGCGCCTGCCCAGTGGAATGCCCTCCCACTAGATGTCAAGGAGATAAACAATTATCTGACTTTTAGAAGACATCTGAAGGCAGCCGTGTTTAGGGAAGTTTTTAATGTTTGATGTTTTCTTGTGTTTTTACATCCTGTTGGAAGCCACCCAGAGTGGCTGGGGAGGCCTGGCCAGATGGGCGGGGTATAAGTAATAAATTATTATTATTATTATTATTATTATTATTATTATTATTATTATTATTAGCCTTTATTTGTACAGTGCATTTCAAGCGTAAAAAGCATCTCTCTCTCTCTCTCTCTCTCTCTCTCTCTCTCTCTCACACACACACACACACACACACACACACACACACTTACAACAGCCCTGCAAAATAGGACAGTGTTGCTCCCCTGTTGCTATAGTGGGGGCTGAGGCTGAGAGAAGATTGACTTGTTTAAGGCAGCTAGTGCATTTGTTTCCAGATATGGATTTGAACCAGTGACTTCTGCCTTAAGTTTGACTACTATCCTGAGCTCACTTCCTTCTTTCCTCATTTTCTCTCTCCAGAAAGGCTTTATTTACACTATTCTGGTGGTTCATGTAACCTGTGTCCCCTACACCTTTCCTAGCTGCAAGATTACTTCTGAAGGATGCGTCAACCAGAGCTTCAGATGAAGATATGAAGCTGCAAATGGCACATTTCTCAGTCATTTGTGTAGCACTTACTGCTTACCATTCAGTGATTAATTATGTAAACGAAAAATTAAAAACCCACATCAGAGTTGGAAACTGGGCTGGATCTAGACACATCAGAGAAGCATTTCAATTAAATGTGTTGCAAACTTTGTATGAGAAATCAGGTTAGCAAAAACAGAACTCCACAGCGCCATCTGGTGTCACAGTGTTAGAATACATAAACAACACATATAAAGTGTTTTTGTTCTTCGCTAATGTAGCTGAGTTCCTGGACTCGAATATCAACTCAGCTCTATGGACTTAGTGGAACAGCTCACTCCCTCAAATCAGCCTCGGTTCCCCAAATGTCAATTAGAAATAAGTTGGTGTCCTGCCTTACAGAATTATTTACTATAAATATTGTAAAGCACTTTGTGATATGCAGCTGTGGTCAGTTCTGGCGAGGCCAAGAACTCGAGTCGAAAACACAGGGGGGGGGGGGAGGAGCCAGGGAGGGCTCTGGTTGTGCAGCAAAAACTCCCATCATCTTGGAGATTCAAAGTTGGCAAACTGTTACAATACCTGTTAATCTCATGCGGAAGAATTTCAGGGCATCTTTATTGGGCAAATGTTTAGATCCATGTGGGGGGAAGGTATTCATCCATTACTATCTTAAGGAAATATTTACAGTGGTACCTTGGGTTAAGTACTTAACTCATTCCAGAGGTCCGTTCTTAACCTGAAACTGTTCTTAACCTGAAGCACCACTTTAGCTAATGGGGCCTGCTGCTGCTGCCGCGCTGCCGGAGCACGATTTCTGTTCTCATCCTGAAGCAAAGTTCTTAACCTGAGGTACTATTTCTGGGTTAGCGGAGTCTGTAACCTGAAGCGTCTGTAACCTGAAGCGTATGTAACCCGAGGTACCACTGTACTCAGCAGGGAGGGACTAGATGGTTGCAAAATCTTGCACCCAGCATCTTGAGGGGCATTAGGCTGTAACTCACCAGGTGTTGCAAAAATCAAGAGTTATTATTCAAACAAGGTTAGCTCTCATTGGTACCTTATTCCTCCTGCCCCTCAACCCTAGCAAATTCTTTGTATTCTGACCTCACAGGGAAAGCAGTGATGAGGTCAGAGCAGAGCCCCCCAGCTCCCTTCCCCTCTCCCTCCCTCAGCATCCTCTGAGCAAAGCCTGGAACAAAGTCCTGCCTAAAAAAGGACCGACTCCCTCTGGTCAGGCCCAGGCAGAATCCACCGTCTCTGACTCAGGCATGTGGGGAATGTCTTTGGAAGGCTCCTTCGTCACTGTCTTTTGGAGTCTTTCCCCAAATATGGTGTCTGGAGAGCGGAGTGGTGTGGGGGTAGCTTGGTGGGGAAGGGCTGGCGATGATGTCACTGGTCAAGGAGCTGGAAGAGCCTTTTAGCCCCAGTCCCAGCCTCCGCTGGCTGCAGAGCGTGGCCAGAGCATCATCGGAGGAGAGCAACGCAGAGCAGCTCCTAGTAAGTGCCGCTTTTTAGGTGTTCTTGGGAAACAAGTGTATGGGGTGCTGGGCAGAGGGACGATGGAGCTGTTGGGCTGGTTATACTGGTGGCAGTGCAGCACATTTCAAATGACTTAAGCAGGCAATGGAGAAGTTGCACATCCCAAGAGCGTCTGCTTTCTTCTTCACCTGTAGCGAGCCAGGCGTGCTCTTGGAAGAAAGGCACACAGGCAATGGGATGGATACATTCCAAACTCTACTCCACAGACAATCCATGGCTAAATGGGTCCTCCATCTGCAGCGGCTAATACAGACCCTCCAAGCGTCTCTATTCCCAGGAACAGTCCCGGATTTACAGAAGCCGCCCCTGTTTCTGATTTGATCCCGAAATGTGCCACTTTTCCTTAGGACATCCCTATTTTCATTGGAGAAAGCTTGTAGCTAAGTGACCCCCAAGCCAAGGAGATGAGCAACTATACAGTGGTACCTCGGGTTACATACGCTTCAGGTTACATACGCTTCAGGTTACAGACTCCGCTAACCCAGAAATAGTA